AAAGGTAGCCTTTACAGAGGCCAAACACCAAGAGCCTAAATGTACCCAAATTAGGTTATTTTTGTGTGGGAACTCCTCATTCTGTGCATGAAGTATTCTGGATTCCAGGTTATTGAAAACCCTGTGTGAAAGAAGTCATAAAAGTAACACTGTTTACCAGTAAGATACATTGCTGTTTGAAAACTTTGATCTCTACAGCATAAAATGTGTAGAAATTAAGTTTCTTCTAATTGGTAGGAAATGATTTCTTCATTTATTTTTTATAAACCAAAACAATCATGCTAGAGTTATAAAAGTTTGTAATTCTGTACATCATAGTACTATGTATACACATGTGCAAGTGTAATTTTGTAGTTTGTCTTTTGAAAGGGTTTATATTCCTGTAACTGTTTATATATACAACACCCATTATATAAAAGCTTGCAGTTCTAGTAGTGTGGCAATAACCAAAATGTCATCATTATTTTGTGTTTGAAAACAAGTAGAAATTGTGTAGGTTAGCACATAGTTTTAAAAATGTAGTTTCATCTAATCATACTGTATGAATATTTCCAGATCTGCTGATTGTCATAAACGATGGGGACCCAGCAGTTCTGTTTAAAATGGAACAATCACCATTCCAATATGCTCTCAGTTTTTGAACAGTTGCTTAATAACGAAGCTTTAGTGGATGTAACTTTAGCCTGTGAAGGGCACAGTTTAAAGGCACACAAAGTGGTATTATCGGCTTGTAGCCCTTTCTTTCAGACACTTTTTGTTGATAATCCGTGTAAACACCCAATTGTGATAATGAAGGACATGAGATATGTTGATATGAAAGCCATTATCGACTTCATTTATCACGGTGAAGTGAATGTGTCGCAGGACCAGCTATCTGCCCTCCTGAAAACTGCAGAAACACTGAAAGTGAAAGGACTAGCAGAAGTGGGCAATGAGAAACAAGCTGAAAAACACAGTGATCAACAAGATGTGACAACGCAGTCGAATTCGGTCCAGTCAGTGCCAGTAACTGGTATTCAGCAACATCACCGTACTGAATCCCCTCCACTGCATAAACGGAAGAGAGGAAGACCTCGACGGAGGTCAGGATCGAGTCAGAGTGATACAGAAGAACCAGTACCAACCAAGATTAAAGAACCAGATTCTCCAGAAATTATAAGTGATGTTAGTAGAGATGGTTTAACTGAAAGTACACCAGATGTCAGTCAAAGGATATCTCAGACAAGGGTTCCTCCCATTACTTCCAGCCAAAGTTACTCTCTGTCATCACAGAAATCTCATTCTCTATACTCATCAGTTCCTTCTCATCATGACTCTGGTGCTACTGTTGAAGAACCTCCCTCCATTACAGATGGTGACTTTGATGTAGAACCAACCAGACTAATGGAAGCTTCGTTAACTACAGATGCTAGTGGTGTAAGTGTTTTTTACTTTTCGATTACCTCTTAACTCAAGGATGATATGAGAAATATTGTTATCTTCTTCCTTCTAGCTTGTGAATGTTTTATGACTAAATTTATTGTGAAGAAGTTATCACATAGTACATAAAATAAGGTGTTTTTAGTAACTTGGTTAGAAATGTGTGTGTGTGTGTGTATATCAGTGCAAACAAAATTACTGCAAGTATTTGAATAAGAGCAAGATGAGCTCTCCAGAAGAGAATACTAGATGAATATCAGTAACATCTGAATCACTGTTGTAAAGATTAAATAAACTTACTGCTTTTGCTTTGAAGAAAATGAGCTTTCTTCTTTCCTCTTGTATTTTTCATTTTATCTTTTTTTTTAAAAATGCCTAAAATTGGGGACATCACCTTTATCTGGGTTATCCATGAGTTAAAATAGAGTATTTGCCCTCAGTTTAATTTTTGTTTAAAATCTAAATATTTAAGGTGAGTTGGAGAGAGAGTTAAGAAATCAAAGGGAATATATATATATATAGTTGTACTTATGGTTCAGTTAAATAATGAGGTTGATTATATTTAAGGAGAAAATTTAGTAGTAGTGGAGGCATTGTTATTGTTTTGCATCCTCCAAATAAAGAAGGCAACAAATGTTGAAATAACTTTCAAATTAAAATGTTATTAACATTTGACTTTGCAGAGTCAAAGATCTAATCCTCAACTATCATTCCAGCATGTTTAGTAGATTTAACAAAAAGTGAATATCTCTGGACCTGGTTAAGTTGTGCATTTAGAGTTAAAAACTTGGGTAAAAAAGAAAAAACTGCTTACAAGTGGTGGTTTTATTTTAATTTCTTTCAGGTCTCCATGTATGACTCTCAGGCCCAGTCATCCCTAACATCTACATCCACATCTCTTGCTCTTCCATCATCTTCAGTTGAACTGCCACATTCTAATTCATTAAGTCAAGCAGTTGTTCCCACATCTTTACATTCAGCATCAGACTCATCAGGCTCAGGACTAGGAAACCAAAATACTATGGAGGGTATGTTGATATTTTGTAGTCTGTTTCTTTAAAAAAAAATAATATGTAGTATTGATTGACCTTGGTCAACCAGTAGGACACTATTACTGTAAAAATAGTAATAGTGTCCTACTGGTTGACCAAGGTCAATCAATACTACCTATTATTGTAAAAATATAATAGGTAGTATTGATTGACCTTGGTCATCAATAGGACACTATTACTGTAAAAATATAATAGGTAGTATTGATTGACCTTGGTCATCAATAGGACACTATTACTGTAAAAATATAATAGGTAGTATTGATTGACCTTGG